TATTCATGCACCCCCCCCCCTCTTGTATTGCAATGAGTAAAGCATGTTTTGACTTTGTCTAACATGACAATAAATTTCATCACAAGTCTTTCATTGCATCATGATACAGAAAATACAATGAGGCACTTGAATTAATACATAACTTGACGGAACAGACAACAACAGGCTAGATCAAGCTGCGTTACTTCTCTACATTTTGGAGCCAGCAAAGAAAAGGAAGCACAACAATATCGACCAAAGTTCAAACGGCATTGCCAGTTTGTGTCCAGGGAATAAGATATGTCCTTAATTTGTTCCCCATGAGATCACAAAAGCCACATGTCTGAATCTGACCAAGCATTCATTTGTAACTCAGGCAGAGAAAAACAAAAACAAATTAGGACCTTTGTATTTCCTTTAACCTGTCAAACTGATTGTGTAGACCCAAGCCAGGAGGACTCAAACTGTCCAAATGCATCACAAGGATCCAATCTTCAGTTAACTTAAACCAGTTTCCTTTATCCTCAGACTTAAATGCTTCCCTCCCCCAAGGGACGATATCATGTGTAAACATGATAAGACGCCAGACATAAAAAAAAACAACCCAGACCAGTTCACCAAGCAAGGCTCTTGCCATGTCGTGTCAATATGACCAGAGATAAGGTGGCACCACGTCTAAATCAGTACAGGCAGCGCACTTGTCAGGCAGGAAACAGGATCTGATGACTTGACATGCGAGTGTAACATCTTAGCTGCCCCCTGGATATGATTGATTGAGGTTATTAAAAGCAACTGGCATTGATATGAACACCAGGTGTGGTCATTCGACTAGATGTGGGAAAGAAGGATCTTAGCAGGGGAGTTTTCTTCAACAGATTTGGAAAGGGGGTGGGAGGTCGTATATCTAATGTTCTGTTCCAAAGAAAAACGAAATCAAAGGAGAACCAGGCTGAAAGTCAAAAAGATTTCAGCGAAAGATACATTTCAATACAAGCTTCTTCTATTGTCTTTCAAGTTTGCATTTTCTAAACTGATTCACATTTGCTGGTCAAATGTTAAACTCTGGAACAAATCTGTTTTTTATTTTTTTGGAAACCTTTTTCACTGCAACTGTCACTTGTGTATGAAGACAAGAATGAAACTAACAGCAAGAAAAAAAAAAATCTTGAAAAAAAGTTTTTTACTATGATCTTGAGTCAGTGATATAAAACTTAGTTTAAAGAAAACAACTTCTGCCACAAGTGATGTGTTTCCACATAACAAATGGGAAGTACGTTCACATATATATTGAGTTCTCCACCTTTATGAAGTTTATGTCAGAGGGCCAAAGCTAACTTACACAGCTCAAAAGTATGGACACTACAATAACTCTTGCAATTAACACATAACACAAAATTTGCCCTTTTGTGTATAAAGCACCAAGAACTGAATCTGAACGTAAGCGTGAATGGGTTGTTCTGTACACTTTACACATTCTCACAACACTTCTAGCAATTGAAAAAACCACCCTGAACAAAGAGCATTGCTAGTACATCACAACAACTCAGAAGGCAACAAACAAACAAACACTGGGATTATACTCAGCTGTTGTGTGGCAAACAAGAAGCAGCTGCTCAAATGTTGTCAGAACACCCTGAAGAATGGAGGATGGAATTGAAATGCTTAAAGATAAACGACGTCAACAAACCAGTTGATCCTCAAAATCTGACTACACTCACAGAAAAATAGAAGTATGTATTGCACATACGCTCAGCTTACTTGGGCTTAGTGCTTTCATTTTTCTGGCCACTTTCAAAAGCTGACATAATAAACAGTATACACGACATGCTCAAAAATGTTTTCTGGAAAAAAAAGCAATAAAAGTAAATGAAATTATACTCATTTGATGCAATTCAGTTGAAGTTTATAGCTCTAGAAACGAAGTCTCAACTACATAAGCTTATTACTGGATAACACAAGTAAATACCAGGAAATACAAGGGAAATCACGGCAACAACGCTCTTGTATGCTTCCTTTCTATTTACATTCAGACTACTTCTGCGTCAACAAGTCTGTTCTAAAAAAATCATCCGCAAATCTCATGTACGTTACTGGTCATCACAAACTAGAGCACTGCATTGAATCCTAGTTGGAGTAGCATTGGAAGCCTGTGACGGTCATCTAGAATCACAGACCGACGGTGAGGTAAACACATGACATCACTCATGAGTAGTAAATGTAAGAACACAACAACTGAAAGACCACATGGAGAGACAACTTTCGAACTGAAAACATCATGACTAGCTTAGACGGGTATATTAAGAAATGGATAGCCAACCTAAAAACAACTATATGTATGGTCGCTTTTATGGACAAGCAGGCTAACCCAGATTTCGGGGGTTTCCAGAAATCTTGACCTACACCAAAAGTGGGCATTGCCCTACCTGTAGGATAAGTTTGGTTCCATTGGTGGGTATGTTTGTTTGTTTATAGATAAAACTCTCAGTCTTTTAAAGAAACAGAACAAGGGACAAAAATTTTAACTTAGATTTTTTCAAAATAGCATTTTTCGTGATAGCCCCCTTGTGCTTAAAAGCGACCATATAAAAGTTTGCAAGGGCAGCAATCGAAATAATAAATAAACAAAAAAGATAAAATAATGCTCAAATTATTAACAAATTTTCTTTTTACTTAAAAGTAAAATTCTCGTCTGAGATCAAATCTTGTATGTTTTCAATAGTATCAAAAGTGAAAAAAATCAACATAGTATACTTCTAAAACACGAGTAGGTAAGCCATAATATCAGCCCTGGAGCAAATATTACAGGCTGCATTATCGGCAACTAAAGACAAATTTTGAGTTGCTTCAAAATACAGTCTAACACCCCTAAGGGACTAAAGAGCAAACCGAAACCTTATCAACTTGGTTTCTAGCATGAATAGAAACTAAATTATTAAGAAGGCAAGAAGAGAACAAACATGGACAATTCCTTTATTTCCCCAAAATTGCCAATTTTAAAGCATCACATGGATCAAAGCTGGAAAGAGAAGAAATTTCACTGGGATGAAAAAAATTATATTAAAAATTCTCGAGAACTTGAAAAGGATTTGCATTTGCTTCTGCATAGATTATTTTTTATGCAGACAAAAAAGAGAACAAAACAGCAATTTCAATTGAAGAAAAAAGATACAAGTTCCACGGATATAAAGACAGCAAATTGTCTTCGCACCCTGTTGCAATAAATAAATTTAAATCAAACTATAGAAATAAGACAGGTTTACTATTATAGGTAGAAATAGTTTGGCACCATTTTAAAATAATGAAAAGATAAGCTTGATATGTGGAAACAGGGACAATAGTCTAAATGCCATGGGGTACTTTGGAATTAATTATCAATGCTGAATTGTATGTGTGTATCAGCAGGAGGATTTTTTTTTATAAGAGATACAAAAAGAAATGACCTTTATGTATCCAGTGCGTCTTCCAGAAAGTGTCGTCAAATCTCTATTTGATACATTTGGAGGTGGCCAGTATTTCCTTTATGGAGGGGTAAAATCTATTGTTTTGGCACAATTTGATCAAATCCTCCAAAATCAGGTAACGGTATATCTTATTTTCTCGGTCACAATTTGATATGTTAGATGTTTGGTGAAAACAACCAAACAGAAGGCTACTCCACATTGCAGGGTCAGATCTTTCGTTTGCACATGGAACGTGATAGGCCCTAATGAACTTTTGGGTCAAGTCTGATCAAACAAAGCAGATGTTAATTTGATATCTTGTGCACTGGCCACCGCTATCCCTCAAATATATCGAACAAATATCTCATAGAGATTTGATGAAACTTTCTGCAATGGGCATTGGGTATTAGACACCAAAATGCTAAAAAATACTTTGCATTAAGATTCACACAGCAATGCTTACACATCAACTGAAACCGCTTCACACGAAAAAGGATTGAAATTTAGGTTTTAAAAGCAGATACACAACTACTAGAACATACATTAGTTAGCAAATAGCCACTAAAAGCGTACATGCTTTATGTTTGCAAGAGAAAGACAGATAGTGCATTGGTATCCATCTAAATACAAGCATCAACCAAAGGAGAGAAACAAACAGCTCTATCTAGCAGCCACATGAACAGAGAATTGAACAGAGCCAAAGCATAGTCCACACTGATTTATTTATAATTTAAAAGAGACCATCAAGGAGATACTGACCCAAATTGCTCACACAAAAACTATAAAAGAACATTTTCTTAATTTCTAGAACAAAATTTTCACTTGACTTTGCAGTTACAGTCTTGGAATCCAACAGTAGCCATATCATTGTCATGTAACAAGTCAAAATAAGTCAAAAGTCATTGAATGTTGTAATCTACCTCTATATACTACTCTGAAGATTCAATTTCACATATCCGTTAAACTTTTGTATGGGTCAAAACATTCTGAGAGGAGAGATGATTATGCTTTTGTAAGTTGAAAAGGAAGCAAACCAAAATATGCATCCAAATTTCCTATTTTTGTGGCATAGCTACAGCCACTTCAGAGGTGAAATGAGCCCTGTTTAGACAATCCATGAGTCAAACGCACCGTTATTGTTAAACTAAAAATGCATGCAAAATACATCCCGGGAAAGCAATAGATAAAAAAAAGTATAAACATGTCTGTAAAAACAACTGGATTCACATTATCTTTGGATTTTAAACCGGCTTATAAGCCCGCACCAGATATAAACACAATGAGTTTGAGGAGGACTAAAGCCACATTTGTCTTTGTATCACAACAATATGCATATCACCCTATCACTGAACACCACGGACCATTAGACGACTGGGTAATTACACTTCCTTCATCCTCATTCCAGGATATTGTAAGTTATACAGTATTCATATCTGTCTGTACCTTTGGACTTACAAGCAATTCTGATATGGTTTATAAAGGCAAATGAAAAAAACAAACAAGAACCCCCCCCCCCCTCCCCCCCCCCCCCCCAGCAGTAAGACTGATGATATCCTCTGAGAACAAAAGCAATTTACACAACCTTCCATAACACAATAGTCCAAAAAGTTGGTTTCCAAAAGCGTTCTACGGGTAAAACATCTCAATAAATCGTGCTGTTGGGTCTGGATTACACTTATGTTACAAATGCATATTCAGCAATGGGCACTTGAGGTGAAAATGACTGATGTTTGAACTATTTCGTAGTCAAGATGAAACAGTATGTCGCAACTTTTTTTGGGGGTACTTTAGGAACATGCAGTTTTACAATCCATGGAGATCTAAACAGTATCTGCCTATCCGTATATTTCAGCCACACAACTCAAAGAAGGCTTCACATCGCAGGAGGACTCCAGTGTTCACCCATGTTGATTAACAGGAACTGTCAAAGCCTATTCCTTCGGGTCCCTTTACATGTACAGTCCATTCATCGACAAACTGGCACTTTAACCGACGGACGCTAGATCTGGATCATCGTTAAACTGACAGTTTGTCGACGAGAGAAGCTCCATTTAGACGTACAGTTTTTTAATCGTAAAAATGTCAGTCCTTGACAAAACACACAAAACACACCCAAAAAAATGAACTTGGTAATCCGGCATTAAATCGTGTTCCCCGCCTGATATTGACTAACTTTGGGTCGCTGATCACGAAAATTTTATTTTTTTGATTTGACAAATATTTTGGAAAATTTTGGAATGCATTTTCAACTCCGCTTGGGGCAACATTAAAAAAGCCGCTCACTCGTCGTCATGCCTTCAGTTTGCCCGCCAAATCGATATCGAGAGGATTGCTCATTTCCATGCTCAGTTTTACCAGGAAGTTGACAGGATGTCGGCCATTCTCTCGATGTCCTACAGTTTGTCGATCAATGAACTGTACGTGTAAATGGGGCCTTTGAGTACTTCTGTTTGAGCTGGTATTCTCTCAATTCTGGTGCCTGAACAAAACATGAGTTTGAGAACCATGGCATTGTAACCACATTTTTGCAGCTCTGTTTAAACTTTTCAAAAGTCTAGTCCTACTTCATTCACTTTAAATTTAAAGCTGAAAATTTATTATTTTCTGGCATCCATTTTATCCATTCTCCAGAAATTCGTCTTGACACAGTCGTCCTGCTGAAAATGCACCTTCCTATCTGTATGTGAAAAACACAAAGTTTTGACTTCCAGTAGCTTGACGCAGACAGGTACACATGATGCATTCCTGCAACAGAGCAGCATTAGGAACAAAGTATTCTTTGGCATCTTTCTTATCAGACTGTGTGGGGTGCAGAATTTGCGGGCACGAAAAGTGCTTTGGACAAGCCAACCAAAAGCTCTGATATGAGATGAATTACCCTTGAAAGGGCACAAACTCGAGACACAGTTTTTCAATGAGCCAATCATAACTTCCCAACTTCCAGCTTATGGACAAAGGGGCAGCCTTTGTACAAGGTTCATATTGCACCATCATTAAAGAACAAAATCTGAAAGCATGCATAACAATCCACAAAATTGCACTGGCACAGCATCCACATAACTCACAAAGGTGAAGTTATATCCGAAGCACAAAAGAACATTCCCACTTGAGTATTGTACGACTATTTCTGTCATAATCCATCATGATCCACATAAACAGTCTTTGAGCAGTCACCATTGGGGAGAGCTGTGGAGGACTTGTCGGACTCATCCATGGCTTTCTTCAGCTCGACTCGAGCCTTGCGAACCACAAACCATAACAAGACTACAGTGATGAGGATCTGTGAAGATAAAAGAAGGAAAAAAGAGCGTGATATTGAAGCATGAAATTTTGTTATAAAGACACAGCATTTTTAAAAACTTATGCAACAAACAACATATACACTACTTTTCACAACCTCTAGACTATGTAAAAGTTCAGAAGTTGCAAACCTCAAGAGATTGAGCAATTACAGTATGTTCAGTAAAATTTTATTGGTCGATCTAACCTACTTATTCAGCTGCGATCTGATGGCCCATTTTGGATTACACAAAGATAACTAGTGCTGGTCTTAAGGTAAGATAGATGGGATCATAATGCTGACTATTGAATGCTGTTCATTACACTAATCTAGCTCATAGATCCCCCCCCCCTTCCCGCCCCCCACCCCACTTTACATTTACATCCCACTTTTTGCTGATTTCCAAGCATAGGGACTTTAGACAGACACTCTTGTAATAAGAAACTCTGAACAGTGCTGCCATATGGCTGCATTTGGGAGTATTCTCTGGCACTAAATCTAAAAAAACTATTAGCACTTTGTCATGGCTATGAAAAATGTGCGAGATTCTAGTTATTGGCATTGCTTGAATTGGCCAATTTTGCATCAATGTCTTCCGTACCATTGGCACAAATTAGGTAATATTTTCCTTTGTTCATTTAGTAAATGGGATCTCTATTGTTCTCATTGTTACTGATCTCATTGCTACTACACTTTCTTCCTTCTGCTTCATGCTATGTCACAGAATGTGAAAGTGAATGTCAGATTCATTAGTTATGCTACCTTTTCACAAAGTTCCCTCTCTTATGTAAAACCTGCAGCAACTAAGACACAGACACCAAATATAGTGTAATTCCACTGACACATGCCTAGTTTAGTTAGTTTAGTATGGGGTTTTACGGCGCTCGCAACTGCATAAGGTCATATGAGCGCACGAAACACAAGTTAGTTTTTTATTCGCAGTTCACTGCACGGCTGGGTACGGGTCATTTGATCTTAAAACGTTAAAATATTAAAAATTTAGTGTAAATATATAATTTCAATCTAAAACAACTTTCATAAAAAATATTCATAATTCAATTTTGTTCTACATCACAATTTTCCATAAAGGTCAATGGCCTTCATAAAATCCAAAATTCCGTTCGGACCAATGACGGAAAAAATGTCTTGTAATTTTTTGCATTTAAAGTAGGCTATTTCCTTTAGATCTCTCCAAAGTGTAGACATTCGGTTAAAATGTGACATATGTCTGGACATTACAGTCACACACCCATTGCTCTTCTTACAATATGTCCCTGCAAATCCCTGGCAGAGAACGACAACATTTTGTGGGTGGTTGGTGGGTGCTCTGGTGTGGTTTGCTCCTTCTTTCCTATCAAACGTCTATCGTCTTTATCTCCCCTTCTTCTTTTTTGTGTTGGTTACTCTCTTGTAACACCTCTAATCTTCAGCCCTTATATGACCTTATTGTGTTGCAAGTGCCGTAAAACACTCACTAAAACTAAAACTAAGGACAAAATTTGTAAGCAAGATATGAATGCGAGGAGCTTATGATGCTATGAATGCATTAAACATAATTCCCATACTGCAGCCATATGGTCCAAGGCCAGATAGGCAATTTTTCTGTTGGCCCTACACAGGTCCATAATATATATCATGTGTCAGTCATTCACAACAGAAAGCAAAAACAGCACCCCAGATGGCCGCAGTGCATTTAAAAGGCAAAGTATGAGAAACTGTATTCAGTTCTATCAAAAAGGAAAGTTGTGCTTTGTAATAGTTCTGTCCACATGCCCAAATATGTCAAAAATTGATGTACAATATAAGGTGGTTCTACTTCTATAATCCAGATCTTAAAACAACACCCAAAAAACCCCCCAACAAACAACAGGTGGTGGCACACCTATACTCTTCCACTTTCGATACAATTGAGTCACCTATCGTGTACACTCAGGATGGGAGCAAATGTCCAACAAAACTTCAAGGTTGGAAATAAAACAGAATGTTAACCCTTCCAGCCCCAGCCATTTTTGTACACTCGCTAACCCAAGTCCCAGCCAATACAGCAGTATTTCAGAAAAAGAGACTCATGCATTTTAAAAAGTGATGTAGTATCTTTGTAATGAGGTTTAGATAATAACATATAACAATCTTTAAAAGTAAATGAACAAATATTGTGAAAATTAACGTTTAATTAGGTTTGCTAATTCAGAAAAATGCGCAAATAGGGTAAACCCCCCCCCCCCCCCCCCCGAACTGAGAATACGCTCTTGGGATGGTGAGAGGTATAAGCGAAAATATACCTGTCCCCATCGTTTTATGCAAGAAAAATCCTGAAATTATGCAAACTGAGCCCAAAAATGTGAAATTATGCGATTGTTTAAATTTTAACAAGGAATGATAAAGGAAAATAAACAGAAATTATGAAAAAAAAAATCAAATTCTGCTAAATTATGCGGGGCGCATAAAACCACGGGGACAGATATACATCCAAGGGGCTGGAAGGGTTAATACTAGAAAGCAACACAATAGCACACACCTGACCACCGAAGATGAAGAAGCCGGTCATCCTGTTCGAGTCGTCCGTCATGAGGTCCTCCATGGTGCGTAGAGTCGAGCCCATGTAGCAGTTCAGCAAGGTCATGGGCACCAGGCCACCCACGCTGGAGATGAGGTACCTCATCAGTGACATGCTGGACAGCTGTGGAAAGTGACGGAGAAAGAGAGAGAAAGTCACAAAATCTGCCTTATCAAACAAGCAGAGCAAAAAGCCCTGAAAGCAAATTTTTTCCGTAGAGAGAAAAACTTTCATTCTTTAAACAATTGTACCTAAATTATGTGTTCATCTTGCTTTTTTCAGTATCAAGAATAAAAATTTTGACAAAACATTTCTTGAGCGCATGCAACCAATACTACGGGTTAAGATGTGCTAGGACCTGGATAATAAAGAATGATCTTATCTATCTTTTCTTATCTTATCTTTTTTAAGAAACTGCAATAAAAAAATTATAAAAACTTAGGGTTCTATTTAAACCATAATGGAAGCATCAGAATTAAAAGAAAAACAAATAGTCGAACCTGCTTGAAAGGCCATCTGTACAAGACAATCCCCTGTATAAACGACAATTTCCCATTGCTTCCCTTGTGTATATTTTTTTTACACTAAAATGACACTGTGTAATGCAGCCACCTGTCTAAGAAGGCCATATTTTTCCTCGACAATGAGCGGACGTTTTAGACAGTTTTGACCGCACCTCCATCTTGAAATAACTTCTTTTCACAAGGATGCCATTTTCATGAACAGTTAAAATACAAATTTTTCTTATGTTGTTGTGATTTCACATTCCTTCTCCTGCCTCAAAGGCATTTCAGCCTGATCCAAACTTTCATCCCCAAATCAAGATAAAAAGCTCATGAAATAACATCCTCTTTCATGTCACACCAAAGATAGTACATAACAAGATGGTTCACTAAGCCAAAAAAGTGTCAGCGGAAGTCTGCTCGTTGCTTCAGATGGCGCTGCAGTCTTTGTTTTGAAACTCTCTTTCGTTTCTCCTGAAGAAGATTAGGAATAGCACCCCCTTGCGTGCGCAGGTTGAATGCTGTTCACCAGCTGTTTGGGTTCATTCAGAGCGGAGTTTTAGGCTTTAAAAATTTTTTAATGACCTCTCGCCTCTCATTCCAAAGTCAAATTAAACAAGGAAAACAGTCGCCCCTTCCTCAAGAAGAGGTGTTTTGTCAGCATAACCATTTAAAAAAAGTGTTCTTTCGAAATTTGAATTCTATTTTATTCAAAAACTCGTTTGTTTCACTTTGAATTTTTTCACATGTTGTTGTTGTTGTTGTTATCGATCCAGCAACAGCTGGGCTCTCGCCCTTCTGTCCAATGCCATGTAGTGATAAGTGCAGGTCTGCTGCAGTTGCTGTAATGTTCCATAGAGTGTGTTGTCAATGTTAGGTCTCGGAGGGAGAAGGGTAGCTCTGATGTCATTTAGGGCTGTACAGTGGAACAGGAATTTTTTCACATAAGTAGGGTAACTCTGTTCGCAAAGGGTGCGCTTTTTTGAAGAAGGTGCCACCGGATTTTGAGGACTCTTTTTTAATTGGCTCAAAGAGAGGAGTGAACTATCTTGTTATGTACTATCTTTGGTCCCACTCAGCACTTACAGAAAACAAAGCATTCTGGAGGCCGAATGGAATAGGCGTGAGTCGGGTGAGGGCAATGACCTTCATCCCATGAGACCCACTGACCACGTTGATGATCGCTTCGACCTTGCGTGAATAGAAACGAGCACGCAACTGTGCTGCACATAGGCATCGCATGACTGGAAGAGAAATTGTCAGTCCAATAGTGACACTGAATGTGACCACCAACGGCCCGTACAAACATCCGTACAGATACCTGGGGAGAACAAGTTGACGACATCAGAAAAATCTCACTATTGAAAGATGGAAAGCTAGTTAAACATTAACGTGGGTGGTTGGCGGGTGCTCTGGTGTGGTTTGCTTCTTCTTTCCTGTCAAACATCTATCATCTTTATCTCCCCTTCTTCTTTTTTGTGTTTGTTACTCTCTTGTAACAGCTCTAACCTTCTGGCGCTCATATGACCTTATGCAGTTGCGAGTGCCGTGAAACTTCTACTAAAACTAAACTAAACATTAACACGCCCCCCCCCCCCCCCCCCCCCAACTCCCACACACACACACACACTTCATGAAAATCACAACCTGCCGTTCCTGTAAGACATACTATCAACCCTGACGTGAACACCCCTCCCCCCCAGTGACCCTGAATATTGTATACTAGGTCAAGCAATTAGAAATGGTTGGGGGGGGGGTAACTTTACCTTCACCTCAACCTTTACTGGTGTACTGGGTTATATTTTACTTTTACCTCAACCTTTACTACTGTTCTGGGATATACTTAACCTACACCTCAGCCTTCACCAGGTCATACTTTACCTTGACTTTCATTAGTGTACTGGGTTATTCTTTAATTTTACCCAAGCCTTGATTTTATTTGGTTTTAATAAGCATTTTACAGCACTCGCAACACACTTATGTCTCATGTGTTGAAGATTAGAGGTGTTACAAGAGAGAAACAAACGCAAAAAAAGAAAGGAGAGAGATTTATCAAGACAATAGATTTTTGACAGGAATGAAGGAGCAAACAACACCAAAGAACCCGCTAACCACCCCAACCTTCACCATTGCACTGGGTTATACTTTACTTTTACCTCCATCTTCACTATTATTTGCCAAAAAAGCAAGAACAGACAGATATATATAGAAGTTCATTTGTATCAACTGCTGTGAGGTTACTGAACACAGTGCTACAAATGAGAGAGAAAGAGAGAGAGAGAGAGAGAGAGAGAGAGAGAGGGAGAGAGAGAGAGAGAGAGAGAGAGAGAGAGGAGAGAGAGAGAGAGAGAGAGAGAGAGAGAGAGAGAGAGAGAGAGACAGAGAGAGAGAAAGAGAGGGAGAGGGAGAGGGAGAGAGAGAGAGAATGTTTTATGGAGCGGGTTGTCCCAGCACGTGAGACATGCATTTACTAATGTCCTGTCTTGTTGTGCGTATTCGTGAGTGCACCTAACCTTTGTAACGTTTACTGCCATTGTTAACGACCAAGACAAATTATGTGTGTGTGCCCAAAGAAAGGTACCAAAAGTCGGAATAACGTGAGAACACCACACACTTTTAAAAAAACCTGATTTTTAAAATGTATTTATTCATGGAAAATTCATTTCCATTTTGTCATTTAGTTGATATTAATATCATGAATGGAATTCAATGTCAAAACATAGTAGGGAATAGAAAAACATGCTTCAAGAATAGACTTTAACACTTTTTAAAAGCAGTTTTCATTACTTGTTTTCTTTATTATACCCTACCCTAAAAATAATTCAAAATAAAATATTTAGAAGTCAAATCAATGAAAACCCTTTCAGCACAAGGTAAAAAAATGGTGGATCTATAATTTTTTAATGGAAACACATTTTCGTCAAAAAATTGAATTTTGTCATTATCAGCCTGTAGTTCGAAACGGTCTAGGGCGACTTTTGGTACCTTTCTCTAGGCGCACACACAAATTTCTCCCTGCGAGATGAATAAAGATAGTCAATGACAATTGACAATGTCATTGTCATAATACTCACCCTGACGTGACCATGAGCAGCGAAAGGCCCCACGCCATGGGGAAGGAGATGAGCACGAAGAGGCCCGTGATGACCGACACGCTGACCTTGGGGTCCACGTGCTCCAGCCAGGTGAGAACGTTGCGGATGTAGCGGTGGCCGAACACCAGCAGTGACACGATGACCACGATGACAGCGATGGAGGTGAGCGTGGCGCGGTAGCACCAGTCGTTGGAGTCGGGCGTGTCCGTGATGATGGCGTGCATGAGCACTCTGGACGGACCTGGAGGAAAGAGTTCATGGCATAAGTTACTACTACTTCTGGGCCTCATTTTCTCAATAGATATATAGTCATCCAAATGGTTTTCTTTTGTTTTTGTTTTAGTAAGAGTTTTACGGCACTTGCAACACAATAAGGTCATATTAGAGCCGAAGATTAGAGGTGTTACAAGAGAGTAGCAAACACAAAAAAGAAGGAAGGGACCTGAAGGAAAGCATTAATGACACAAGTTACTAGATCTTCTTTCTGTGGTTGAACTGGTCTTTCTCGTTTCTGTGAAATATTTTTTCTTTTAGTTTTAGTAGAGGTTTTATGGCGCTCGCAACTGCATAAGGTCATATGAGCGCCAGAGGATTAGAGGTGTTACAAGAGAGTAACAAACACAAAAAAGAAGGAGGGGAGATGAAGACGATAGATGTTTGATAGGAAAGAAGGAGTAACCACACCAGAGTACCCACCAACCACCCGCAATTGTTTTCTTTTGCTGATAATTTTTAAAGTGTTAGTACAGTTATAGTATGACTTTTATGGCATTTGCAACATAATTACGTCAGATATGTGCCAAAGAGATCTTACAGTCAGATATACCCTGAACTCTAGCAGGGGTATGAAAAAAAGAAAGAGTACATATGCTTTTCTTTCAATAAATCCCAAAAGTGAACAAAGATGTATCAACAGTAACAAACATTTCTACCTGCTTCTCCATCCTCATCATCCTCGTCATCAAACGCTTTTTGTTCTTTTGAGATTCCTACACAGACATCTGAGGTACCTCTCTTGTCCTCATCTCTCTGTCCCCTTAGTAGCTGTGGGGAAGAGAAGAAGATTTATGAGTAAAAGCCATGACAATGTGGAATAAGCTCCAGGCAAATCTTTACAATGGTGAGCTTTATAAAAGTGTTTTTTTAGTTTTAGTAGAGGTTTTACGGCGCTCACAACTTCATAAGGTCATATGAGCGCCAGATGATTAGAGGTGTTACAAGAGAGTAACAAACATAAAAAAGAAGGAGGAGAGATAAGGACGACAGAAGTTTGAAAGGAAAGTATAAGTAAACCACACCAAAGCACCCGCCAACCACCCACGAAGAGGCACAGAAAAGACAGAATGCAACAGACAAGAGAGAAGGTATGGTCTTTTAGGAGGTGAAAGGAACATCCATCTCGTATAGGACCAAGTGAAATGGACAGGGAGGAAAGGGGGGGAGAGCTTTAAACCCTCCCCCCCCCCCACATACACTGCAAGTTCAAGAATGCCCCGTGTAGAATTTGAAACAAAGTCATGCCTATCATAGATCAGCATGATCCAAACTTTGATAACGGCAAGCCTGATATAACAGTAATGGAAGCAGTTTCCAAAGACAAACAAATGAAAAAGATACGCATAGAGACAAACACACATGGTGGATCCCACTAGAAGGCCAATGCAACATGAGAGCGCCCACCAACCAACCACTGATCCAAACTTTGATATCGGCAAGCCTGATATAACAGTAATGGAAGCAGTTTCCAAAGACAAACAAATGAAAAAGATACGCATAGAGACAAACACACATGGTGGATCCCACTAGAAGGCCAATGCAACATGAGAGCGCCCACCAACCAACCACTGATCCAAACTTTGATAACAGCAAACCTGATATAACAGTAATGGAAGCAGTTTCCAAAGACAAACAAATGAAAAAGATACGCATAGAGACAAACACACAAGGTGGATCACACTAGAAGACCAATGCAACATGAGAGCGCCCACCAACCACCCACAGGCTCAAACACAAGGAGAGCTAGCCCACTGACCTGGTGGTGCAGACCTGCAGCTGGACTGTTGGCGTTCCAGTCAGCGTGGGGCTCGAACTCCTCCCCGTGCTGATGCTCGCCGTCGATGTTGACGGGCAGGAAGACAGCGTCAAT